GGGACTACGTGTATTACTCTGGGAGGTCTGTACAGTGTGTGGTCAGGTTACACAGGGACTACGTGTATTACTCTGGGAGGTCTGTACAGTGTGTGGTCAGGTTACACAGGGACTACGTGTATTACTCTGGGAGGTCTGTACAGTGTGTGGTCAGGTTACACAGGGACTACGTGTATTACTCTGGGAGGTCTGTACAGTGTGTGGTCAGGTTACACAGGGACTACGTGTATTACTCTGGGAGGTCTGTACAGTGTGTGGTCAGGTTACACAGGGACTACGTGTATTACTCTGGGAGGTCTGTACAGTGTGTGGTCAGGTTACACAGGGACTACGTGTATTACTCTGGGAGGTCTGTACAGTGTGTGGTCAGGTTACACAGGGACTACGTGTATTACTCTGGGAGGTCTGTACAGTGTGTGGTCAGGTTACACAGGGACTACGTGTATTACTCTGGGAGGTCTGTACAGTGTGTGGTCAGGTTACACAGGGACTACGTGTATTACTCTGGGAGGTCTGTACAGTGTGTGGTCAGGTTACACAGGGACTACGTGTATTACTCTGGGAGGTCTGTACAGTGTGTGGTCAGGTTACACAGGGACTACGTGTATTACTCTGGGAGGTCTGTACAGTGTGTGGTCAGGTTACACAGGGACTACGTGTATTACTCTGGGAGGTCTGTACAGTGTGTGGTCAGGTTACACAGGGACTACGTGTATTACTCTGGGAGGTCTGTACAGTGTGTGGTCAGGTTACACAGGGACTACGTGTATTACTCTGGGAGGTCTGTACAGTGTGTGGTCAGGTTACACAGGGACTACGTGTATTACTCTGGGAGGTCTGTACAGTGTGTGGTCAGGTTACACAGGGACTACGTGTATTACTCTGGGAGGTCTGTACAGTGTGTGGTCAGGTTACACAGGGACTACGTGTATTACTCTGGGAGGTCTGTACAGTGTGTGGTCAGGTTACACAGGGACTACGTGTATTACTCTGGGAGGTCTGTACAGTGTGTGGTCAGGTTACACAGGGACTACGTGTATTACTCTGGGAGGTCTGTACAGTGTGTGGTCAGGTTACACAGGGACTACGTGTATTACTCTGGGAGGTCTGTACAGTGTGTGGTCAGGTTACACAGGGACTACGTGTATTACTCTGGGAGGTCTGTACAGTGTGTGGTCAGGTTACACAGGGACTACGTGTATAACTCTGGGAGGTCTGTACAGTGTGTGTTCAGGTTACACAGGGACTACTTGTATTACTCTGGGAGGTCTGTACAGTGTGTGTTCAGGTTACACAGGGACTACTTGTATTACTCTGAGAGGTCTGTACCGTGTGTGGTCAGGTTACAAAGGGACTACGTGTATAACTCTGGGAGGTTTGTACAGTGTGTGGTCAGGTTACACAGGGACTACGTGTATTACTCTGGGAGGTCTGTACAGTGTGTGGTCAGGTTACAAAGGGACTACGTGTATGACTCTGGGAGGTTTGTACAGTGTGTGGTCAGGTTACACAGGGACTACTTGTATTACTCTGGGAGGGCTGTACAGTGTGTGTTCAGGTTACACAGGGACTACTTGCATTACTCTGGGATGTCTGTACAGTGTATGATCAGGTTACACAGGGACTACTTGTATTACTCTGGGAGGTCTGTACAGTGTGTGATCAGGTTACACAGGGACTACTTGTATTACTCTGGAAGGTCTGTACAGTGTGTGTTCAGGTTACACAGGTACTACTTGCATTACTCTGGGATGTCTGTACAGTGTGTGATCAGGTTACACAGGGACTACTTGCATTACTCTGGGATGTCTGTACAGTGTATGATCAGGTTACACAGGGACTACTTGTATTACTCTGGGAGGTCTGTACAGTGTTTGGTCAGGTTACACAGGGACTACGTGTATTACTCTGGAAGGTCTGTATAGTGTATGGTCAGGTTACACAGGGACTACGTGTATTACTCTGGAAGGTCTGTATAGTGTATGGTCAGGTTACACAGGGACTACGTGTATTACTCTGGGAGGTCTGTACAGTGTGTGTTCAGGTTACACAAGGACTACTTGTATTACTCTGAATAACTCTGGGAGGTCTGTACAGTGTGTGGTCAGGTTATAAAGGGACTACGTGTATTACTCTGGGATGTCTGTACAGTGTATGATCAGGTTACACAGGGACTACTTGTATTACTCTGGGAGGTCTGTACAGTGTTTGGTCAGGTTACACAGGGACTACGTGTATTACTGTGGGAGGTCTGTACAGTTTGTGGTCAGGTTATAAAGGGACTACGTGTATTACTCTGGGATGTCTGTACAGTGTATGATCAGGTTACACAGGGACTACTTGTATTACTCTGAGAGGTCTGTACCGTGTGTGGTCAGGTTACAAAGGGACTACGTGTATAACTCTGGGAGGTTTGTACAGTGTGTGGTCAGGTTACACAGGGACTATGTGTATAACTCTGGGGGGTCTGTACAGTGTGTGTTCAGGTTACACAGGGACTATGTGTATAACTCTGGGAGGTCTGTACAGTGTGTGTTCAGGTTACACAAGGACTACTTGTATTACTCTGAGAGGTCTGCACAGTGTGTGTTCAGGTTACACAGGGACTACGTGTATTACTCTGGGAGGTCTGTACAGTGTGTGGTCAGGTTACACAGGGACTACTTGTATTACTCTGAGAGGTCTGTACAGTGTGTGGTCAGGTTACACAGGGACTACGTGTATTACTCTGGAAGGTCTGTATAGTGTGTGGTCAGGTTACACAGGGACTACGTGTATTACTCTGGAAGGTCTGTACAGTGTATGCTCGGGTTACACAGGGACTACGTGTATTACTCTGGAAGGTCTGTACAGTGTATGCTCGGGTTACACAGGGACTACGTGTATTACTCTGGAAGGTCTGTATAGTGCGTGGTCAGGTTACACAGGGACTACGTGTATTACGCTGGAAGGTCTGTACAGTGTGTGTTCAGGTTACACAGGGACAACTTGTATTACTCTGAGAGGTCTGTACAGTGTGTGGTCAGGTTACACATGGACTACGTGTATAACTCTGGGAGGTCTGTACAGTTAATGTTCTTTGTATCGATATAACCCGCACATGATCCATTTATCTGATATTCTGCTTCAGAACAATAAGTGTGCATATTATATAGTGTACATACTGTGTCGTTTCAAATCTATGGGGCTACATAAAATCGATGCTTATACCACACATACAAATATGTTTACTACAAATATATTTATGCATCTGCTCACTGTACCAAGAAACGATACAACACGGAATATGAATGAAAAAGAAACCCTCAATGAGGGTGTCGAAGTACAGTCACACATCATCTAGAGACCACATACATTATCTGGTGATCTCTATCAAATTAAACTGTGTTTAAGTGTCGAGAGCCTACTTTAAAATTCCCTATATCAGGTACTTAAATTTTAGTATGGAAGAAAGATCACTTGAAAATTCCTCATAAATTATTTATATTTTAATTGAGCATGTATTCGGAGACGATATGAGACCACTTCAGACATTTCCCGGATGCGGTCTCTGAATACATGTATGAATGTATACGTATTGACCACAAAGCTTAATAACAAACAATGACATAACACAAACAGCAGAATTAAGCTAATAAAGAAGGCGGGACAGGTAAAATGATGACAGGTAGTTGTGATTAGTTCTGATTTATACAATTTCTATTTACCCAATAATATGCTATGACAAATACAATTTGTTATTGAGATTCACAGATGACAGGCAATGATAAATTTGTTTGTTTCGACATTTACATAGCAAAGCTGTAACTGTACGTTTGCATAGTATACCTACACAACGTAATAACTATTGATGCGAAAGAACATATTAACATTGAGATTCATGTATCATATCAAACCATTACGATATAAACACTACATTTATGTACCTAATTGAAACGTATAACAAATTTGTAATAAACAGTGAGACAACACGTAATAAACGTGTACACGAATAACAATACCTCATAAAGATACTTATAATTTTCATTTATTTCTTTTTCTAGGATACTATATATAGGAAATTAAAAGTGCGAAACCTATGCTAATGTGAACCTGAAAAAAGTATGAATTATGAACATGTGAATTTCTAGTTTGCGATTCTCTCAATTATTTTCACGTTTACAGGCTGTCAAAAATGTGATATCACATTATATAAAATATTCACAGCTGTGTTGTTTTCGTAGATTCCTTTTAGAGTGAAATTCGTCAAAATATGTACATTCTGTACATCAGGCTTGTCTGTAAAACACTCTTCTATTTCCTCAACAGATTTTCGTTTTTACCGGTAAAATAACCAAGTATTACCAATAAAGATACTACTACTAAAATGACCTCGTATGACATGTACAATTAGCATGTATTACTAGCAAAACTACCAGGTATAACAGGTAAAATATTAATAATAATAGTTATAATTATTCGAGGTTTTTTATATTCTGTACCTCTTTATCACAACCGCGTTCGTAGGTTGCCTCTAAGAGGTTCACAAATAATTATTATCCGTGTTTATAGGGCCTTTGCAACCAGCCAATATCTTTCTCAACTCCCTGAGGAGCATACAGCCGTTGCTGCCATATCGGCGCTCACAGCTAGCAATCTACAATTATAGCACTTCTCAACCACGTATCCATTTACAGCTAAGTAGACTAGAACACGCGGAGTAAAATTTCTTGTTTTAAGACAAGACAGTGCTGTGACGTGACTCGAACCCGCAACACTTCGGTTACGAGCCCGGCGTCCTACCACTAGACTACACTGCCTCTAATGATTATCATAACCAAATTACACTATATAACAATGTATTACTAATACAATACCATGTATTCTCAGTAATTGTACATGTGCCATGTGTTACTGGTAACATTATGTTGTATGCTGTATCAAATTTTAAATTTTGAAGACGAATATCTCATATAACTTTCCTTATCGATTCATGTGTCATATACTTTTACTAATTTTAGGTCGTGGAAAATAAACCAGATCCAACAACAACCTTGCTCCATTACCTCCGACGGCACCGTATCCTTATCATTGATTGGCAGCATGTCACAGGGATATCAGACAGCATGGTCATATACCCACTGTAACAGAACTGATATAAAAAGGAGAAAACATTCCCAGATCTCAATTATATAAAGAGCTGTTTTATTTCTTTTTCCTTAATTATTCTCAGTTAAACTAACAGGGACGAAGAACGCTTGTAATCAGGGAGGATGTGGATCGTGTACCGTCATGCTGTCATGGTGGGACAAAACCGAACAGCAAGTCAAGTATCCTTAATGTGAACTGACAACGTTGTTGACTTCTCATGCTTAAGCCTATGGACCAACGCTACGATGCTTGCTAGCTATTGTGAAATGCTCCTTTCCTAAATATTTTTTTTTGACACAATACACTTCTAATTCTGCTTCGAACCACTTCTTTGCTTGAGTTAGAATTTATGAAATAAACCATAAATATATAAAATTGATTCATTTTAAAGCCAAAGTCATGGCCCACTTATTGCAGCATATATCCCCCTTCTTGTTAGACTTATATATTATTATTTTTTATTCCAAAGTGAAATTGTAATTCGTCCGTTTAAAGATTCACCCATTTAAATGGGGACAAAAGGGCCAGGAAATGGGAGGCTTGACTCTCTAGATGTTTTTTTTTAATATTTGATGAATTACTAATTGCTAATCACAACTCTCCTTTTAGTATAACATGTAGCGAACTATAAATGTTTCAACAGCATCACTATGTGGTTATACTGTTTATTCGATCATGTTTTGTTTACAAATATAAATGGTCTGTAAACTAGTAATATGCAGAATTAGAAAGGGATTGTTTGGGTGATTTTTCGTTAAAAGATGTATGTTTCAAAAGTTCATCTTAAAGTCTTAACCTTTCATTAGACATGCCAATGTAAATGCTTGCCTCGTTTTGGTATGTCATCTCCATGGCTACGCCGTAACGACGGTGGAAGGGGTGGGTAGCACGCAGAGGGGGCTCAATGGGATACAGGTAGGTCTGAAATTGATATGTTTATAGCAATGCCCAAAATACTATGTGGCTATTCAGTATTATATACAAGATATTTGTTGTGAACTACTGATGCATTGTACCAGTTAAGATATTGGTAACAGAGATTACAACAGCGATTACTTAAGTGATTAACATCCCTCGTACGATGACAGTTAAATGTGTTACATAAAACCTTTGAGAGCCTGTCAAAATCATAGGTTAAATATTGTTCTAACTATTTATATAGACGACAAATACATAGACTAGTGCTCACATAACTGATTGGCTTGATCGAGATTACTTAGACAGAACAATGACAAGATTCTGTTATATATTTTCTGAAGTAATTTGAGGAAATACATACATATGAATCATACTTATTAATGACACTTGTAAGTGTAATAGTCTGTACTAAATTTTACAGTCTCCAATGTTTATTGAGTATTAAGAGTTTAAGATCCTGTTATTGCAGACAAGTTTGATGGAGTCGTTTGGCCTCCAATGTGGCTTCTGTACTCCGGGTATGGTGATGACAATGCACACCCTGCTACAACAGAACACCAACCCTTCACAGGAATCACTGGAGAAGGTACTTGAAGGTACGTTTGTTTTGTAACTTTTATAGTTGTTCCCTGTTAAAATTCAATCGTAAGCAGATATTTCTATAGATGCCTATACATATGCAAGACCACACACTTGTGTTTTTCTAACGAATCAGAAAGCACGAGTTTATTGCGCGGACGAATATATTCACGAGTGCGTGGAGCGCATGAGTGAATATATATACGTCCGCGCAATAAATGAGTGCTTTATAATACGTTAGAAAAACACAAGTGTGTGGTCTTGCTTTTATCACATACCTTCCGTATTTGGTAGAGATCGATACAAAGATTTTATAAACTTTGATACTTTTTGCAAATACCGGGAACTTTTCAGTTTGCCATGACAAGATGGTTCCCATAAAAAGTATTTCCGGCTAGTAGGTAAATACAGCATTCCGTATTGCACATGTGCAATACAGAACGTTGTATTTCATGGTCTGAAAATTGCTTGTATTACTATAACAAGATTCAGATATGTGATAAAGTGTGATATCAGCCACTAAAATGCTTAATGTCGAAAATAAACATTATCCGATGTGATTGCCCAGATAATGCCTTAATTATGGCGAAGGATACCGACAAATTAAACTGTATTTTCCGTATTACCATGGCCACTATTGATAAATATTCGTGTATTTTTCTTCAAAACAAGTGGTTCATGCAAATAACATGGTTAAATAACCTTAAACTAAACAACTGATTAAAACTTCCGTTAACAGCTATCAAATAAAGGACAATATACGTTGTTTTTGATGTGATTTCTTCTTATTTACAGGGAACCTCTGCCGCTGCACAGGATATAGACCAATTGTTGACGCATTTCAAAGCCTTTGTAAAAAGGTAAAAAATAAAAATTAAGTCATATAATTATATTCGCAAAAAAGTCAAAAATGCTCTTTTCTCATTATTAGTATATTTTCAATCGAAATCAACAGGAGACAAAGAGGGATAGTATACGAACATGCTTGCTGATACATAATGTCTAAGTGCCAAATCCAATGAAATGCAATATTAATGCATATATAAAAAGCATAGGTGTTTCACCTTATACTACAATTCAAATGATATCCTACGATAAATATTTGCGAAGATAGTGATTCTCGCATGTGTATGTGAATATATACATATTCTTTAAAAGGCATGGGTTTCATTCTTTTAGTGAATTATGTTTGCCAGAATAGCAGGCTGTTTAAAGTTCAGTCACAAATATGAGTATTCATCACAAAATCAATCAGTAGCAAAATTGTACATGTGAGTTCAACTGAAAGTGTTTTTGTCCAAAGAAATGCGCACAGCGTAAGGAGTGCAGCAATGGTGACATCGAGGACCTTTGTCATTTGACCATTAATGGTGGCGCTAAATATGAGGTACATATATTATTTCTTATGTCTTAACAACGTATATCTAATTGATCACAGTGGCGTTAACATACATGCCTATGTCTCTTGCTCATTAATTTTTGAAATACTTTGTTTGTGTGATGGGTTACTGTATTTTATCACATACCTGTTGAATCTTGTTATAGTAATACAAGCAATTTTCAGACCATGAAATACAACGTTCTGTATTGCACATGTGCAATACGGAATGTTGTATTTACCTACTAGCCCGAACTACTTTTTATGGGAATTATCTTGTCATGGCGAACTGAAAAGTTCCCGGTATTTGCAACAAATATCAAAGTTTATAAAATCTTTGTATCAATCTCTACCAAATACGGAAGGTATGTGATAAAAGCAAGACCACACACTTGTATTTTTCTAACGAATCTGAAAGCACTCATTTATTGCGCGGACGTATATATTCACTCGATACGCTCTGCGCACTCGTGAATATATTCGTCCGCGCAATAAACTCGTGCTTTCTGATTCGTTAGAAAAACACAAGTGTGTGGTCTTGCATATGTATTTGTCTCCGATTCTTGAAAATAATATTTCTGTTAAAGACAGCTAGGAATATAACTGAAGTACAGAGGAATTGCTTAATAATTGAGACTTTAAGTTAACATACTTTCAAAGGTAGGGTGTTCAATAAATTTTAGGATATTGTTTTCTACTGCAACTAATGTTTTAAAGGGGATATGTTAATATGTATTGCGTATTGCAGAGTTATCTTCTCTTGGGATCAGGTTTTGATTGTTACGTCATTGGTTTGTGTGAGAAAATTACGTCGTTTTCTCAAAAATTGATGACGTTACTCTCACAAACAAGTGACGTAACAATCAATACCTGCTCCCAAGGGAAGATAACTCTGCAATACGCAAAGACGGAATAACTAAAGTAAAACAATAACAGTAACTATATGAATTATATTATGGTAGTATGGGTTTCTAGATTTACCTTATGTACTTTATTTGATTTCATCATTAACAGAATAACAGCGATGAGAAGAGCAAAGGGAACTTCAGTTTACCAAAAGAACTTAAGGTAACATTGACATGAAAATTATTCTATTAATATTTTCCATCTTGAATAGGATAATTCTATCTTTAAATTAAATTCACACACGGTATACCTATTGTAATATGACAATACAGTCGAATCTGCTCAAGCGACCATCTGTATTAAAAGACCATCTGTTTTATGCGACAACTTTTCATTCCTCCCGGCCGTTTTTACTATGTAATTTAACTGTATCAAGCGACCATCTGTCTAACGCGACCAGCGACCACCCAATATTGACCCCAAAAATACGTTAAACGACCATATTTGATACATTTTAGCGACCATGTTTGACGAAAATATATCAAACGGTCGTTGAAATAGTTGGTTAGCTCCAAATTTGCGACCGTCACCACATTTGTACAAATATTGATAACGCAGATACAAAAGTAATTTAATTGTTTACTTATGTGATGATATTATTCTGTACTTTGAAAGTTCCGATATGTTTGGTAGACTACAAGTGTATCTTTTAATCAGAATTATATCCTCGTGTGTTGTAAATATAGATTGATCAAGGTACTGAGAGCCTAGAATTCCGGAGTGGCGACTGGTGCTGGCTGAGGCCTGTGACCCTACCGGAAGTACTTACTCTGATGGACACCCTACCAGACAGTTACATCATTCTGGGCGGAACCAATCTAGGTATAGAAAGCATATGCACATTTTATCATTTATCGTTTCAATTGATTATTCCATTATATTGTTCTGTTATTTGTAATACATACAGTTTCTATAGTATATATATTTACGAAAAAAGTCTAAAATCCTGAGTATTGAAAAAAGGATTTTGTTTGGAAAACCTTTCATAAACGAAAATAAAACCCAAAATCCTAGTTTATTGTACTGCTGTGATTTTATATATATCATTACAATACTGACTTTACAACTTGGGATTTAATTTTTTTTAATACTCATAAACAAAATGCATAGCGTTAAAATCATGTGATAAATAATGTATTATTAAAAACACTTCGAGCTGTGGCATCACATGAAAGAAAGTAGATGTGACGTCATGACTATTTCGATGATGAAACTGTAATAATGACATTTCGTAGGCGTTATGGGTCATTTTCGTCTCATCGGGGATTGCTAATTAGTTATAATCGTAATCTAGGTTAAATGAAGTATGCAAATATAAATTTATCAAATCTGTTCGACAACTGGTTAAGGAGATATGGCATTACAAAGAGAGACAAAACCCCGCATTTTCATGATGAAATGCGTGAATATCATCTGTCGTGCGCTATTTGGTTTGAAATTGGCCATTTTGAAGGAAATTAACCAAAAAATTGAAAAAATTTGAAAGCCTCCGCATGCAACAAACAAGTTAATATTTGATATGCTTTGTCATACCAGTGTTCATTTGTAGAAAGGAATGTTTGTTTGTCACATGCAGAGGCTTTCATTTATGCATGCTTACTGTCCAAAAACAACATATTTTGACTAATCCTGCATAGCAACGCAATTTCGTTGCTATGGCTGGGCATTTACACATGCGTATTGGAAAAAAAATATGCACCAAGAAAGATCGTCCCAATTAACCAATATGATGTTTATAACAGAAATTAGTAAATAAATTCTAGTTGAAATTCTTACTTTTTACGAGGCCATACATGACCAATAACGCCTCAAGTCCTTTTGCAAAGCTAGTTTTCCAAATGTCTTGTTATCTATCAGTGTTACGTGATAAAATGTGTTTGTATTACTCAACAATATCATGGTGAATTTCCCATCTGACGGAGAATCACTGGATGAGTGGAATCGTTTGTAAGGCCTATATAAACATGTAGTTAACATTTTTGAAATAATTATTTCAGAATGCTTTTCCCTTTTATCTCTTTGATTCATACGTTCTAGTTTTATAAAACATAACTACTCTTCATGTGAAAATCGCACGTGATTTTCTTTATAGTTGGAAAACTAAAATCAAAGCAAATCACCAAAGGCACTTTGATCTCGTGTGCGCATGTGGAGGAAATGACAATATTTGAACAAAAGGAGGATGGTATTGAGATGGGTGCGGCTCTCACTCTTTCCAGTATCGAGGATCGTTTTAAGTCGTACGCGCTTTCACTTAATGGTTTGTATATACTGGCGGATGACGGGTTCAAGTTGTACATATATATATTTTTTGCAATTCATAACATTTTTATTTTGATATATTATTTTGTGATTGCAAATTTAGATCTTCACTGAAAAATAGTTAGGCACAGTTAAAAACGAAAATGCATGTAGAACAATCTCAACTTTTCCGCAGAGTTTGAATGCCAGATCTATTCATATTTCAGTACCAGTAGTATGTAATGTCCATAGTTTTTAATGAGCGAATGACCAGATCTATTCATATTTCAGTACCGGTAGTACATGTATGTAATGTCCACAGTTTATAATGAGCGAATGACCAGATCTATTCACATTTCAGTACCAGTAGTATGTAATGTCCACAGTTTATAATGAGCGAATGACCAGATCTATTCACATTTCAATACCAGTAGTATGTAATGTCCACAGTTTATAATGAGCGATTGACCAGATCTATTCATGTTTCAGCGCTAGTAGTATGTAATGTTCACAGTTTATTATGAACAGCGAATGATCATATCTATTCATATTTCAGTACCAGTAGTATGTAATGTCCACGAATCCGTCTAATTAATGTTTTGTTAACCTGTTCGTTAGGACGGGGCGTTCGTGGACATGCGGTCACTGCCATGCTGGACAGTCTGCAATGGCTGGCGTCTCTTCAGATCAGGAATCAGGCGGTAGGTATTGATATTACATTAATATTCAACTCTGGACCTATGCACATTTGATGAAGTATAAAGCAACTTTTTATAATTTATTTTTTAAGGTTAACATAAACATATCATTTATTTGTAAATGAACGCAACTATTTTATTCTATATATGAAGAGTATTAAACTTAACAACCATAATTATACGCGTTACTTATCAGTTTGCAACTACTTTAGCTCTATCCATAATTGATACTATACGTAGCTACAGTTTGCACAACCTTTTCTGGTATCGGTTGGCAAATATTATAGCTGCATTTACAAATAATAATATATGTAAGTCCTGTTAATACAATATTTCTTTTAATTCTTTCATTTTAGGGCATACAACTGAAGTACCATATTAACACATTTTACTTCTATAGTTCACGATGACTTTAACTGTACCGTTTAACGGTATTATATGTAACTATGATGATTAAATGCATGTATACACTCTACTTAATTCGGTTTGCAACTATCTTTTCTGTATCTGTTCATGGTCTTTTACCTTAATGACAAACACATACATATATATTTGCACTTTAATGGCGTATACATTTATCCAATTAGGGTATATGTAAATGTTATACATTTATATGTAAATGTTATACATTTATATGTAAATGTTATACATTTATATATGTGTTTTTCGTCTATAAATATAATGTAATGGGTATTTCGCCATTAAAGCAATTATATTATGTAATTTCGAAGTAAAATTTATAATGACAAAATTAGATAAGTTACATAATTATTTGAATGTTGGTTTGCATCGAGCAACAGTCATCGTAAGACTGGTAATTACAATGTATGTGATACACATGCAATTAGCATCATTATACACTTAGGTGTACCGCAATTGCTTTTAACTGAATTGGAGATTTTAATGTAGGTCTTATTAATTTCGTTTATTCCTGTGTACAGACTCTTGGAGGCCACGTGATGATTTCAGACCCTCGATCTGATTTGTGTGTTGTGCTAATGGCTGCAGGGGCGAGGGCTGTGGTGATTTCTAAAGGTAGGTTACATCTAGGAAAAAATTAAAATAAAGTTTATCGGTAGAATGAATCTATAAGTTCAAGTTCTATATATATATATATATATATATATTACTTTTCATATATGGTACATATATGAGATTTTTTAAAATTTATTCATAGTTGTTTGTACCACTGTCATTGTGATATAGAATGAAAAAGGAGTGTAAATATAGATATATTTTGACAATACAGACAACTGTGTCTATCTGATGAAATGCACTTTTAATACAAAGCTATCAAATATCACAAGGCAATAGGCATATACAACTGGTTCGTGTTAAAATGGACGCTTTCTAAATTTTCCTTCTGACATAAATGGAAACGCATATAATCTATTGTTTGTAACAGAGGCTCGTGCATGCAAGAAGAACAAGTGAAATACGTTTCCATTTTTGATGTTTTGTAAGCAGTGTCCTTGATTTGGAGATTAGAGCGGCGGGCTTTGGATGTTTCAAAGCCATTATTTCGGTTGCATTCATTTTTCTCAGTGTTATATAAAATGTTAAGGTTATGCATAAAACCGGCATATAGAAGATACTTATATATTTTTTATATGATTCAGATGGACGCAAAGAAGTAGCGATCGACAACAATTTTTTTACAAGTAATGGTTCCACATCACTTACCCGGAGAGAAGTTTTGGTATCGGTCAAGGTACCTTTTAACCCCGTGGTAAGTTTGACCAAGAAGCCGTCTCTGAAACAAAAGAATTTCTTTCAACATCTTGTCTATATATTTAGTCCTTCCCTCCAGTCATATTTTGGATTCTTTTATTAGTCTTTAATCTTTTCAGGTACCACACACAAGAAGTTTATACAATATTGCACAATGACCATCGATAATCATCGTGATGTGATATGGAAAAAGCAGTTTCGAAGATATATGTTATCTAAACAATTAATTATAGCAATGCATCTATATATTTTAAGAAATATTCGGGTTATGTACTGAAAACTCAAGATAAAGCTTTCGGATTGAAATTTCTTTGTTGTTTGATGTGTTTGTCAATTATTAATCTTCCTCCAGAACACATACATTGCGTACTTCAAGCAGGCTAATAGAAAGGGTTTCGACTACGCTCTAGTGAATGCATGCTTCTACGCCAGGTTTGGTGAAAGTGGATCCTTCAACACCCTTGACCTTTGTTTTGGAAGTGTGCTGGACACAACCAAAAAACTGGTCCAAGCCTCATCACTAGCTACATCAAGGTACGAAGATTTTACAATCATATATGGTAGTTGATGATGAATCGAGGTGTCCGTGAAAATACAAAGGTGTTGTATAATATATATATATACATTTGTGATAGAAGCAGTTTACAATGCTGTTTGAAAATATAAAAGAGTTGTAAATTATGTAAAATACCACAACTTAAAATGCTTTTTGAAATATGAGACTGATTGAATGCGTATAGTGTATTATTTTAAAAGTGTTTTCCCAAGAAGATTGCGCAAGTATCTACATGTATATGCATACATATAAGGCACTGTGTGGTCCAGATTATGAGAGTTTCGCCTCTCGACTCTATTCCTTGCTACCCTGTCCCACAACAAACACTAGTGATCTACAGCTGTTTGAGTTGAGACCTACTCTTTCTGTCGATATTCTTGTTTTTACCCATTATTATCTCGTTAAAAGTGATGTTGTTTAATTGTTTAACTTTGATTGGGTGTTCCAAACGGAAATGCTGTGCAGCTTTCTCGATGATATATACGCAGGATATATGCAATATTTTGTATTTCCTGAAGTTACCCTGACGACAGTACATTAGGAATGGTGTGTGATGAGATCAAACGTGAACTCGAAGTGGAATCTAAAGGCACTGTCAGCAAGTACAAACAGAAACTGGCCTGTGGCTTCCTGATCAAGTACTGGAGTGAGATACAAAACTCACTTAATCACGTGAGGAATATTTTTTAAAACATCGGCATTTTTGTTTTTGTCTCGATTTACGGGGTATTGGCAAACATTTAACATTCTGCTAAGTAATTAATCATTACAATAAGCATCATATACTTTCTATACATCTAAATGACAGTCATTTCACGAATTAGTTTACGGCTTTGGTAAATCGAAATAATTTAAGCAGTGATTAATCAATTTTTTTTGAACATTATCATTTCCTTGATTTTGTTGTTTTTGAAAACAGTTGTTTGAGAAAAATATGTGGTCAAAAGGCAATTGTATTAACCGACCTACTGTGAAATCAAACATTTTCGTGGTGCCAGAATTTCGCGATTTCCAGAAAATAACTACCGTTCGGTGGATACTTAAATCCATGGATTTACGACTATTCACACGCACGGAATTGTAATTAATTTTGGGACTTATGAATTCTCTATTGAACACTTCCCACGACATCAATAAAATTTAAAAGCCCACAAATTCGTGATTGCACAGAATTATCCATATGTTTTTTTATTATCAAAAGAGTAGATAGATATCTACAATTACCTATTTTTCTATTCAAATACAATAAGTTACACGGCAAAACTACAAACGGATATTTAAAATGACACTTAAGCAGTCGAGAAATATCTACAAATTAAGATCAAGCTGAGTATGCCCTTATTCATCCGAAAATATATGCTCCTCATTACAACAGAACAAAAAGGAAAATATCAATGATCTTCTTTGGATGCCTTGCGAAGGTCAGCAGGTGTATCAGGCGCCCTCGCCTGGACAACCGGCGCAAGATGCAGTAGGGCGACCCATTCCTTTGGTTGCTGCGCCTGCGCTTGTGACAGGACAAGCCATGTTTCTTGACGACATGCCACGGTTTGAAAGTAAGTGACACAATATCATAGGATATAGACAATGTATTCACACATTCTCCTATTGTTTCTTTCTGTGCCGTTAATAACGTATTGTTATCCTAGTAGCGTTTACTTTCGTTTTCTCTATATCCTGGTTTCACCTCTGCGTTTCTTTCCGATATTCATCCTATTTTCTCCTTTTTTGTTGATGTTCTGAAGTTTTCTTTCATTTATATCAACGCTGACTTTGAATTTTTGTGCAGTCTTTGCAGATATTTTTTGTGTAAATTATACTTTGATACGCAACGTTTTAGTACTATTGTTAAGAGACCATGCCCGGACCATAGAGACTCACCGCTATTGTCAGAATAATTTCGAAAGAATACTTATATGTATATATAAGAAGAGTCATAGACAATCTTACGATGTAAACACGTTTCAAAATCCTATTGAAGTCACGTTTTTTTTTATTAAAGTTATTTCTACATAAACAAAAGTGTCTGGATTACCGATGTTTGACTATTGTCGTGATGTCGGTTTGATACTGTTTGTAACATTGAATAATACTACTACTTCTTTTTTGTTCTTTTGTTCCGTTACATGTTTATGTATTATGATTATTGATGGCGAAAAAACCGTGTAACAACTTCCAGTATTTCCAGTACTTCTACCACTATGATGGTCTAATGCGAATAGTGGAAGATTTATTTTGTTTCCGATTTAATGGCCTCGCAACAACAAGGGTCATCTTGGGGCGGGTGCCTAAGAAACCACCGCCTGAAGTAGAAAGTAGATATTAAAGAAGTAAGACAGGAAAGTAAGTCTTGCAATGGGGTAAGCAGATCAATTTCAGTCTCTTCCTTGTCCTTTTCAAGACACAGAAGAACGAGGCAACGATGTAATTGTTGAGCTAACAGTCACAGGAGAGGATTAGTGTGGGTAAACATAATTTTCCATAGAATATAGAATAAATAACATTTACAGCAGGGTACTGTTTCTCCAGACCAAGATAAAACTTATAATTCTTATAAAGTATACAAACAGTTCCACTTGATAGTGAAGTCCCGACTATAACCAACCGAAATTCAGATTATCGTGTTCATCGAAAACAACAAGAGTGGAGTTCGATTGTAGTGTACTGGCTTTTTAAAAAATCTCTTCCCCTTTCATACAGATGAGCTATACGTCCAGCCGATATTGAGTACAAGAGCGCATGCGCGGATATTGAGTGTAGACAAAAGTGTTGCCATGGATACACCAGGCGTTGTAGATGTCTTAGAAGCGTCGTCAGTTCCAGGCGATAATAAGTGGGGGATCTTTGTCAACGATGAACCTTTATTTGCTGAAAACGAAGCAAGTTGATGCCTCTTTTTTTTCTTATAGTCATTTACTCAAAAATTAGTTTGTAAGATGTTTTTATGTTTCATGGCTAAATTATTCTACAGATGTTTCCAAATTCTAAATCATCGCCAAAAACATATCAAATCTTCATTTTTTGAATTCGCAAAATAAGTATCGCACTTATTTCACCTGTTAGAAATACCGATCTACCATAATATTATCGTTAATGCTGTTATATAAGAGCTTTACACGATCGAATTATGGGAACAGGTGGTGAGTTAATTTAAGTATAATGCAGACATTATTTTAACATATATTTTGATTATTGTGTTAGCATTATGTACAATTGGTGAAAATTGAAAAAAAGAAGATAATCTGATTCCAAGAATAAATTTCGATATATGTGGCTTGGGTTTCTGTCGCTACTTACGTTGAAGTCACATCTCGGTTGGAGGAACAATGTACATGTAGCAAAATAATCATGTTCCTATAATACTATGATTGCTGTTTAAGAGGTTTACCTCTCTATCCCGTTTCGCCTTGCAGTTACAATATGATATGATAGCTGAGGTATCCATAACCTTTTATTTATATATGTTTTTTTTCAGTATGTTTTATTTAAATAATACAGTTCTATCAGTAGTGTCCATGCCTCTTCTTTAACAGGTCTTTTGTGTTGGTCAAGCTATATGTGCCGTTGTAGCTACATCGGAACAATCTGCAAAGGCTGCGGCTGACCTTGTGAAGGTCACGTATCTTGATCTACCAAGCATAACAACAATGGAGGTAGCTATATATAGATATACACTTTTAAAATATGTATATACATTGTATATGTATTATAAAAATATTTGCGTCCAAACAACAGTGGGGTATCAATAAATAACGAATATTTAAATAATCGATTTATATAAAGAAAAGCTCCTTCGTTTTTTATGTTAATGTAAAATCATTTACGCTTGTTTCAAAGTATGATGAAATGTATTACTTGCAGGAGGCAATCGAAGCAGACTCTTATTTTGACTACACCTCACACCCGATCGTTTGCGGGGACCCTAACAAACATTTCCCACACTGTGATTTTGTGAACAAGGGCCAGGTTCGGTCTGGTTTCCAGGAACATTTCTATTTAGAGCCGAGCGGAGCACTTGTTGTACCAAAAAACGAATCTGGAGAAATTGAATTATTTACAACATCGCAAGCACCATCATTTTGTCAGGTAAACATTCTTATGTCACATTATCCGCATGTGTTTTTAAATTTAATGCTTTAAGTCAAACCATTGATAATGATTGCGATTATTCTTTTGGTATGCTATTATTGGATTTCGTTTTAGAATGGCAAAGCAAAGACCTTCTATGATCAGTATTGAATAAGAACTTTGTTCCAAAAAACTATCCAAGAGTCATTCAAATTTATGTGCATTTCATGCCTGGAATTTATCATCAGGCATCATATATTTTATCATTTTCTGTTTTTGTCTGTAAATGTTTCAAATTTTCTGCTACAAATACACAAAGTGTAATCATTTTGCAGGCAACAGCATCTCGGATACTTGGCATACCAAGGAACAGAATCATCGTCAGGCAGAAGAGACTTGGTATGAAAAACCTTTTGTGCGATGTCTCTGCGAGTCATGTGATATGTTAGCAATGACTTTCAAATTAAGATTTTGCCTTGTTTATTTAAATCTGTGGATGTATATCTTTCTCTGTCAAAGTGTCCTTTTTTATTAAATCATTTCAGTAACATTATTTTGAAAATATTTTAGCAATAATTATAACATCTATATAATACTGTTTTAAATGTGAAATTAACATTATTGAAACGATGTTTGGGTTTTGTCAAAAACACCATAATAATAACGTATAAGTTATGTATATAACATTTTCCAGGCGGTGGCTTTGGAGGAAGAGAATATCGTACTCCTCTGATGTTCGGCGCCGCTGCCATAGCAGCACATAAGTAACATATCATTTTTACTTTGTATATAAACATGCAAAAGAGAATATATGATATATCCCATAATACCTGTCTTGTATTGCTTATATTTTTCTAGTTATTATCCTATTCAGTCAGTCAGACGACAAAACTACATATTGTGTGTGATTAACACTACATAATTATTCATGTTCCTGAAAATACAATGTATCCTATGGAAATCCAAATAAACAAAACAATTACACTGTACAATGTATCAAACAATTAAAGGTTTAAGCTATGCTTTATGTGTCTTAATTGTGCCATGTCTAATGATATTATATTGAATATAATATAATATAATATAATAGTATTGAATGCACATTAAATATATAAGGATAGGTATAAGATTAGAACATCAAATAAAAAAGACAAATTACACATAATTTTATACTTGGACATTTATACAATATCTTTTGTAATGACTTAAATATGTTTTCCACTACGGGAATATTTAAATATCTACAGAACGTTCGTGCAACATGTTTGAAACATTTTAATTGATAAACACAAAGTTCATAACATTGACGTACAAAATGACGACTCACAGGAAGAAACGTCAGAAGGAATTGCGACGTGTATAATGGTGAAAAAACAAATGTTTGATATCGTTATATTGAGCGTAAATATTCAGACATGTACGTTATGATTTTGGTTTTTATCGTACTACCGCAGATGGGGAAAACCTGTTCGAATGATTATGGATAGATCTACAGATTTTAAGACTACTGGGAAGCGTCATCCTTTCTTGTCAAAATATAAGGTAAGACGTGTACAGAAAAATATTTTCTTAGCATCCTAAAGAAACAGAATACAAACATATACATGTATATCTTAGTATGCAATATTAATATTTGTTATGTAACATAAGGTATTTCACTTCTCAAAACGCCATACCCCTTACAGTAGTAGGAATGAATTGATAGTTTGGCAGGAAGTGGTTTAAAAAATCATGTTAAAAATACACTGTGTTTTATTAAATATTACTTATATTGCTACAAAAAGGAAGCGGCGTTTTTTTGTTTTGAATAATATTATTATTATTACACATTAGAACAATAATACATAGTTTTGGATGAGAATACAATGTAAATTTAGCTATGTCACACTACCATGTGCTGTGTAACCGTGAAAATGTAACGTGGATAAGTGTTAATGAGTACAGTTTTGCTGTGATAATGTAACGTGGATAAGTGTTAATGAGTACAGTTTTACTGTGATAATGTAACGTGGATTAGTGTTAATGTGCACAGTTTTACTGTGAAAATGTAACGTGGATTAGTATTAATGAGCACAGTGTTACTGTGATAATGTAACTTGGATTAGTGTTAATGTGCACAGTTTTACTGTGATAATGTAACGTGGATTAGTGTTAATGAGTACAGTTTTACTGTGATAATGTAACGTGGATTAGTGTTAATGTGCACAGTTTTACTGTGATAATGTAACGTGGATTAGTGTTAATGAGTACAGTGTTACTGTGATAATGTAACTTGGATTAGTGTTAATGAGCACAGTGTTACTGTGATAATGTAACGTAGATTAGTGTTAATGTGCACAGTTTTACTGTGAAAATGTAACGTGGATAAGTGTTAATGTGTACAGTTTAACTGTGATAATGTAACGTGGATCAGTGATAATATGCACAGTGTAACTGTGATATTGTAACGTGGATTAGTGTTAATGTGCACAGTGTTACTGTGATAATGTAACGTGGATTAGTGTTAATGTGCAGTTTTACTGTGATAATGGAACATGGATTAATGTTAATGAGTACAGTTTTACTGTGATAATGGAACATGGATTAGTGTTATTGTGCACAGTGTTACTGTGATAATGTAACTTGGAATAGTGGTAATGTGCACAGTGTAACTCTGATAATGTAACGTGGAATAGTGTCATTGCTGATAGATAAACAAACAAATGATGATAAATATGCATGTAACTCGCTTGGCCAAATTGTTCACCAATGCTTTAGAGAACTATGATGTTCACCCCTTCTATAACCTATGTAACATTAGAATAATGATACAACGTATTTTTATATACAATGCCACGTATATTAAAACAATACACAATGATTTGCTGTTTTTACAGAATATTATGTACAAGATATTGCTTTTTTCACTATGTAACGTTAAATTTTGTTGAGCGGTTAACTAATTTTATTATGTGATTTATTATGATAGTAATAATAATAATCAGTGCCATTATGTGTGTCAGTATTATGCGCAGTTCTAACTGTCCCTTTAACATAGAACCACTGCCATTTGACGTCCTCTGTTTAGTATCCCTAACGTGAAAGTTGTATGGCGAGAACACATGTGTCAATTCAATGGACAAAAGAATTAAATTTGCTCGACAAATTATATCGAACCGTAGATCAATTATTTTGGACAAAAATAAATTTTGAATTAACCAATCAAACACTATCGAACTGTAGGTTAATAAAGCCGAACCCAGTTGGCCATTGTGCTAGTGTCGAATGAAACAGTCTGTGCCCGTGTTATCGTATACATATAGTTACCATTCTATTTCTATTTTTTGTTATCCAGGCAGGTTTCCGGCGTGACGGGACACTCGAAGCTATATCAATACATTTCTACCTCAATGCCGGATACACACTGGATGTATCAACAGCGGTAAGGATATCCTACTTTTACAACCATAATGACTAACACCATCATACTGACCGATGTAACCAAACAATTTGATGTCAACGACCCAGTTACAAAATGCGGTGATCCAATATCAATTGATACTATATCATGAAATCCACTTTAAGAGGTCAATATATTGATTAATTTACCTGTTAGATAGTTGTATCATCCTTAATAAAGATAAATACTTTCTAAATTACATAACACGTTGACCTACAGCCATTTGGGGGTGGGGGTTACATATTAAACGTTTTGTCAGTTCATTCGTGTATGTGTGTGTGTGTGTGTGTGTGTGTGTGTGTGTGTGTGATCGTGTGTGCATCTGTCAGTCCGTAATAAGAAGATTGTGTACACACTTTTATCTCCTGAACTCTGTAAACACATATATGTAGTTCATATTTACACAAAAGTTAGTGATATCTATTTTCCACATTTGCTTAGATTTTCGTGGTCATCGGCCAAGGCTAAATGGTCAAATGTCACGTTCAAACACAACACGTTACCACTTTTGAAGCAAAAAGCATTTGTACATGATATGTCAAGATAAGTTGAAGAATGTTTTCACCATAGTATGGTAACATTAATCACAACACTGGATTCGAATTTTGTTGGTCATCTGTCAAGGTTAAAGGGGGAAAAGGTCATGGGCAAATTGGGATGGATGTGACATTTGGGTGGCGGTACATGTTACTCAAGTACTAATAATATAAACGTTCTGTTAAAGTTATCTGCTGTTCTGGTAAATGTGACATGCTATCGTTGGTATCTTGCTTAAGTTGTCCTTATTGATATCGTTAAACACTAACCAATTTCGATGTTGCAATTCTTTTATTAAATCGGTCAATACATTTAAAAGCTGACATATATTATAATCATAAGATTTAAGAAAAAATAGTTACTATAACAAAATATCTACATCTTTATGTTCGTTTCAACGCTTCAATAATAATATAATCCAGTACAAACAAGCCCAAACACTACTGTTGCATTTGCCACAACTGCCATAACAAAATCCACATTCCACGACACACATACAAAAAACGACACAAATACACACAACAACAAAAAATGAAATACAACATCATCAATCCAGGAATACAATATTTGCACACCATCCAGACTTGATGCTTGTTGGGAAATGATTGTTTCAATAAAATATATATTCATCAACGGTTTTTGTAATTAAACTCTAAATTGAGTTCGCACAAATGAACAACAGTTACCACTTTTTTCAGATTTTGGACAATGCATGTTTCAATGTAGACGCAGCATATAAAACGCCCGTGTTTTCAGTGTACGGACATGTTTGTAAGACCAACACACCCTCAAATACATCCATGAGGGCGTTCGGCGGGGCAGAGGCGGTCTTCGTCATGGAGGCAATACTGTGTTCTGTAGCGGACACTCTCGGTCTGGATCAAGAATATGTATGTTAAATTACTGAAAGTTTGTATGTTAAATTACTGAAAGTATGTATGTTAAATTACTGAAAGTTTGTATGTTAAATTACTGAAAGTCTGTATGTTAAATTACTGAAAGTTTGTATGTTAAATTACTGAAAGTATGTATGTTAAATTACTGAAAGTTTGTATGTTAAATTACTGAAAGTATGTATGTTAAATTACTGAAAGTTTGTATGTTAAATTACTGAAAGTTTATATGTTAAATTACTGAAAGTTTATATGTCAAAAGTATCATCCATGTGCGTTTCCTACTTACAACTGGTGTTAAACAAGACAATCCAATCATTATAATTAACACTATCCTTCTGTAACAGTTAATCTTATTGACAATAGATTAGCAACATCAAATTGCCGACAAATTAGTCATCTTACATGTATATAACTTGAAATGCAAATATAACAAAATCATTATACGAAAAATATCTTTTCCACAAAAAATCCCAAGAAGACAAAATAATAATAATAATAATAATAATAATAATAATTGTAAAGATAGTTGGATAAATGTGTTAACAATCCCCGTACCCCTACAAGCAATGCACTAAAGACTTCCACTGCAGCAGGTTTTAATATAAACAGTGACCTCCCTTTAATTCAATTTGGTTGCAAGTGTACATGTAGAGCAGCTTTGTCAGGATGATTCCGTGACAACGAAGCTCACTGGCTTAGAGCGATACATGTAGTAATAAGAGTTATAGGGATCAAATCATGGTCTAGTCCCATTGTGTTTTTACACTCGGAACACAAGTTGTTGAGTTTTCCCTTTGTTTTTCATCTTTAATATTGACATAAATGTCCCGAACGGTATTGCTTTCTTATCTCAACTAATTTCTCAAAGCTATAGTCATGGCTGAAAAACAGCAATTGATAGTTACAGTTTTATCAGTGGTATGGGGATCCTTAACATCACAGTGAACTGTTGAATCGGCAGCTATTCCGTATACAATCTAATTATCCATACGATTCTTCATGGTTTTGTTTTAGCATGATTACGTATCAGCACTTTATAATTACAGGTACGCCAACTTAACATGTACAGAGAAGGCAGCCTTACTCACTATAAACGGAAACTAGAAAACTGTATGCTACAACGTTGCTGGCGAGATTGTATGATACAAAGCAACTTTGAGGAAAGAAAAGAAACAGTAGCAGCATATAACAGGTACTTTCCATTTCTAGCATATGGACATATTGATTGTAAAAGATAAGTGTCTAAACATTTCCTTCAGATTCGTAATAATGGATTATGAAAAGATTTTTGTAACACAACCAATAAGTGTTTTTATGTGACGTTTCGATGGCTATGTACTCTTTCACCCTCATCAGACAAAAACCCAGCGAAGCATATGTTCACAAAGGTGTAAAATGTGTACGAGTTGTGCACAAATCGATGTCGATTCGGTAAATATATAACAGCTAATTGTACATACGCTTACAGCGTAGCCGAATCGACCTCGATTTATGGACAACTCGTACACATCTTACCATTTGTCTGATGAAGGTGACAGAGTACATAACGTGATGTAACGTCATCGCAACGTCACATAGAAACACTTATTGGTTGTGTTACAAGAATCTTTTCATAACGTTAAAGATATGGTTTACCGATGATAATTACAACATTAATTTAATATAAATATACTGCCTTACGCATTTACACTTAAAATGGGAATTGTGTCACAGCTACCTCTCCTGGTAGTTGAACTGTTTTGAAATTTCCATTGCCAAAACATTTTTAAGTAGCCGAGATAACATCACATGACACCTGTCTTGTTTCAAATGTGTAACTCAGATCAGAGAAATATTCATGCAGAGGTTTAAAATGTTTTAATATTCTACAGCGTGTTTTTTTAGCCAAGGAAATCATAATGTACAATTATCATACACCATTCGTCTGAGGAAAGTAGCGGAGAGTGCGTATTGATAATGAAATGAAACAAGATCCCAATAATGTTAAATGAAGGTTGCTTACGAAATTACTCAATGAAAAAGAACACATTCGTCATGACACATTATTCCCATTAATTAATCGCGCGATAGATAACGATATTAATGTGTTTGTATGTGTACGTTATACCAGTCAGAACAAGTACCAGAAGAAAGGCATAGCTGTAATGCCCCTAAAATTTGGTGTTGGATATCCAGTCAGGCACCTTAACCAGGTAAAATACGTATTGTCATTTCAATTGCTTACAAGACGTCGTTAAACTGCTCAAAAACACATTTACAGTCGACATAAGTCAGATTTACGAAAATATAATCTTTACTGTTAACTTTCTCTTATAATATTTAGTTATATTAATACGTATTTGCAGAGCTGTCATCTAGACGCCATCTTTGCTCTCATGAAGAGAGATTCTAGTTTTAGATATCTCTCACTCGCAAGTGCTTTTATAGACCCCGCTCTGCCGGGGTCTATATACATATAGAACCCGCTCTACCGGGGTCTATATAAATATAGAACCCGCTCTACCGGGGTCCATAGAAATATAGACCCAGGCAAGATATCCAATCGGAATGAGTGTTACACATTAGAAGGGTGACAAATTGTTATATTCATCATCCTCGTTGAAATACTTTAAGAAATGTTTTTTTTTTAAATTTTGTATTAGTCTGAAAAATATATGAACATATTTGGCTATAATAACAGGATACAGAACAGCAATACCAACTATATTGCGGTAATCATAAGATAAACGCCTCGGCCGAAATATTTATTACCAAACCTGGTATTTCAATTTGGGTATCTTAATACAGGTTCAGTTCACAATGTCACCACTGCAATGAAGAACATTTACGGTAATCTTTTAGCACATGTGGCCTCTTAAGACAGGAATTCAGTTTAGCACTATTGCCTGTAGTTTTACATAAGTGATATTTTGGTATACAGTAAAATGTACGCATTGTCATATTATCGTTAAACTTGAATTGGAAAACTAATCTTTATATTATTTATTTTCCGGATTTACTAGGTTTCATTTCAATCTGTATTTGATCGATCAAGCGTTTTATATCACGTGGTATAGGGCGCTGCTTTGGTAAACATCTACCTGGATGGTTCCATAACTATTGCACATGGAGGGGTGGAGATGGGACAGGGTCTTCACACAAAGATGATACAGGTATGATTCTGAAGTCTCCATTTTTACCGTAGTTATTATTTATTTTGTCTATTTTCTTGTATACTAGATTATTTATTCAAATATACGAATTATCGATCAAAAACGTGTCACTTGTGATACGTCCTTGTAAAAAATGATCAATTTGATAATAAAACAAATAATCGTATTTCCCTTTTGCAATGAGAGAAACTATGAAGGATTACACTACCCTGTGATCTTAGCATAGTGTTTTCACAATATTGGTTAAGTCAAAGATAATACAGACTTAGGATAGTGGATGACCTTTGACTTGTGTAGCGGAAAAAGTGATGTTGTAACATTTTGTCACTTTAACAACAATTCAAAATGTCATCACGTGATGTACGTAATGTCCAATAGGTAGCTTCCCGAGCTCTAGGTGTATCCATAGACAACATCTACATCAGTGAGACAGGTACCAACACCTGCCCAAACACTACCTCAACAGCGGCCAGCGTGTCATCAGACCTGCAAGGAGCGGCCATTCTGGTAGGTTTCAAGGGAAGTCAATCGCTCATTTGAGATTTACTGAACTCATTAATCCCGAAATAACATGATCATGTAACCAAAATCGTATGACATGAAATATGAAAATATTGCATACCTACATACATTGTATATCAATCAAGGTAATAAAGCAATACCTTATATCAATATCAACTAAAGCATATAACAGGCTTTTATGTTCGATTTAAAAATGATAAATATAGTCGGCGATGTTTGCTAATGAATATTGATATAAAACATTCAAAAAACATGTTTTATCGATCTCACGAACTTTCATTTCTTACTAGATCAAAAAAAGATTTGTAGAAATGTACATTTCTATTTGCACATCCAATTAATAAATTTATCTCAAAAATTAATACCACATGGAAGCGAATCGGTTTTCAAACAAAATACGTATTTTGTTCTCAGGATGCATGCAATACAATCAATGAAAGATTACGCCCATTTAAACAGCAGAAACCGACGGGGCAATGGACAGAATGGGTACGTAATAATTCATAAAATGTTTGAGTAAATATATTTTTAAACAGTGCATTTATCATTCTATTTACACATGATTATAATTAAGTGTTGTGGATATGCAGATGATTTTCATCTAACGAGTCATAACGCAAATTGCGCCTTTTATGACAGATATATTGAGTAATCAAGAATCACGTTCGAGATACATAAATGATTTTCGATGGGAACCCATTACATGATTTATGTTTTGCGTTGCTATATATTTTTAATAACGAAAACGGTGAAGTAACAAGCGGTGGGAATATTCGAAACATTACAATACCTATACCTATAAACCTATAAATGTTATGTGATTCTGTTCATAATTTCTGACTTTTATGACGTCACAGCAAATTTGGAAAAAAACGTGTTATTGCAGTGATAAATAATTATTTCAGTATTTTACTAGAAAAATCATGATATTGCATTAGTGAGCATTGTAATATATTCATATGTATTCAACGCATCTGTAATCATCCTTGCATACTTATTCTGTAGGAGAGATACTGTGACATTAATCATATGTTGTATTGAGATTCAGAGAGGTTTAGTGTATATATGAAATAGTAACGAACATGCAAGACAGAGATACTACTGTATAGATGTTTAATTTCGCGGTGCGAATATGTCGCGGTTATTTCAATCAAATTTCACGCAACGCGTGTAGGAATCGCGCTCACGTAGGAGAAATGATTTATGAGTAGTTTTGAGAAAAAAACCCCCGTAAAATGCAAGATTAAATCGTTGTTTTATTTTCGTTATTCGGCAGCAAACGGACGAACATATTTTTCTTTTGTGACTGTATATGTATTTTCACGGATAGCGTCATTAATGGTATAAATAATAGCTGGGTAGTTTATTTTGATAATTTTGGTGACCGCGAATAGAGTGAAATTAAATCCCTCGCTAATATTATTGACTATACAATATATATAGTTGTGTTATTTTTCGACATTACGTGCCATTAATTTAATAGGTCAATGCTGCCTACATGAACAGAGTGAGTCTCTCTGCTACAGGGATTGGCAGGTATGTGCTGCATCAAATTAATATAAGCATGTTATCTTAAGCTTCTAACATATACAAGAAATAATTTGAAAGAATATTAAATAATATTTTTTTTTTTTTTTTTTTTTTCCCCTTTAAATTTTTTTTTTTTTTTTTTTTTTTGCCACTGTAAATTATTTTTCTGTGGTAATAACATGTTGCTTTATTAGCTGCAAATTATTCCGTCCTTGCCATGCAATATGTGGTAAGCCCCTAAATCTTAAATCCGAAAGAAGTAGATCACACGAAATTGATTTTTTTAGCAAACCTGCGGAAACTATTAGAAAGTTCATTTACTCGGTTTAATATTGCTACTGTTTAATAACACTATAAGACAAAAAACCCATTAATCTTGGAAGCGGTATTTTCTCGTTATTTATGCAATCTCTCTTCTCATACTTGTTGGTTTTGATTCATAAGACCGGGAGATCAGGAGTGGGACTTTGAGAAAGGCGTGGGTAACCCTGTCCACTACTACACGTACGGGGCCGCATGTACGGAAGTGGAGATTGACTGTTTAACGGGAGAACACCAGGTAGTCATTGCGACGATATTATTACAAGATCACAGATACTTATACAGTCAAATAAACAGTAAACATTCGTGCTAGCGTACTAGACTACCATTTGTTGAAACGATATTATTACACGATCATATATTGATATAGAGTCAAATATACAATATCATTCGTGCTAGCGTACTAGACTACCATGTGTCGATTCGATGTTATTACACATATGTAGATATAGAGTCAAATATACAGTATCATTCATGCTAGCGTACTAGACTACCATGTGTCGATACGATATTATTACACATATGTGGATATAGAGTCAAATATACAGTATCATTCATGCTAGCGTACTAGACTACCATGTGTCGATACGATAGTATTACACATATGTAGATATAGAGTCAAATATACAGTATCATTCGTGCTAGCGTACTAGACTACCATGTGTCGATACGATATTATTACACATATGTAGATATACAGTCAAATATACAGTAAATATTTGTGCTAGCGTACTAGACTACCATTAATCTTTACAATGTACGATGTTTTATTAAAAAAATACTTGTGTCCTATGATTTTAAAGTTAAAATAAGGGTTTTTTCTAAGAGCAAATGCCACTTGCTATTTTAACAATAAACCAACTAATAAGAATTTAGTGTTTTAGGGTTGAGTGTGAAAACATTTAAGCGATAGACATTTATTTATTATGAATTTATAAAACCCTGACATTTAATGAAACCCCGCTAAAATAAAAATGTTATAAACGTGATAAACAAAATATTCTTTGTTCTCTTGATAAACAAACAGATTATTATATTTGTATTGGAACGCAAAACAATGCATATGTCACGTTTTACTTTTTTAAGAATGTTTGGACCAGTATTAATCTATTCAACTCTAAACTTTTATAATACTTATTTTTTGTGTCAAAATCATAAAACCCGTGCTGAATAGGCCTGCTGTATCGCACTGTATGATAATAAGAGGCGTCTTATGTCCAACCATCCTGTCATGCACAATCCGAAGTGGTTTCTTCTTTGTCCTCTGTCCTCGGTTTTGGGGACATTGAAGAAACCAAGAATCAAAGAAAAGACCTATCAGACTGCGTGTACTTTGAATGTGGCGACTTATGTGCAACCCCTCCTGCAAAGTCGATATTTGCAACAGACCAACATTGATCTGTTGCCTCCAGTGCAACACTTGGGAGGATCTTTTTCGTTTCCTATCCTTCCTTTGTACTTTCTCTGTCCGGTGTTGCCTCCCTAGATGGTATTGGCTGTTTCTAGGACGTTAAACCCCTAACGCACACACAAATTACCCACACCTAATATCTGAATGCTTAAATGTCGTACCCAAAATTGCAAATTTTCACTCGCCTCACCGCATTCATGAAATACAATTGCTATTAAAAAATAGCAATAAATAAGCAAGTACGTTCTGTAATATGCAATTAATAATGATCGCTAGATATTTTGCAGGTGTTGAGCACTGACATCGTCATGGATATTGGAAACAGTCTGAACCCAGCTCTTGACGTAGGGCAAATTGAGGGCGGTTTTGTTCAGGTAAGTATAAAATTAAACAGGCCGAACAAAAATGTTGACATTGGGCAAATTGAGTTCAGGTTTAGTCAGGAAAGTATAGAACAAAATAGTCTGAATCCAGCTCTGGATTTTGGGCAAATGGAGGACGGCTTTGTTAATATTAATATAAAATGAGAAGGGCTCAAAACAGCCTAGGACGTTGGGGAAATTGAGAGCGGCGTTGTTTAGGTAGGTACAAAAGTGGAAATAAGTTGGAACACGAGTCTTAACCTTTGCCATTTTGAAGACGTATTGATTTAGGTAAGTGTAAAATAAAAAAAAATCTGAACTTAGGTCTTTATGTTTGAAGATCGAGAGGGGGTTTCTTCAAGTTAGTATAAAAAGCTGCCGCCTAGGTTTATTGGGTAAGTAAAAAGGAGTCTGATTCAGAATTATGACGCATTCATTTCAGCGTTTAAACATTTAACAATTACGATAAACAATTGAGATAAACAATTAAGATACAAAAATTAAGATTGATTAAGATAAACAATTAAGTTGAATTTAAATAAACAATTAAGATTAAAAAATTAAGATTAATTAAGATATACAATTAGGATAAACAATTAAGATTAATTAAGATAAACAATTAAGATAATCAATTGAGATAAGCAATTAAGATTAATTCAGATAAACAGTTTAGATAAACACATGCGTTGCTTTCTACAGGGATACGGCTGGATCACATTGGAGGAATTAAAATTTTCATCTGATGGTCAAACCTTAGCTAGTGGGCCTGTCGATTACAAAATCCCGGGCATACGGAACATTCCACGTCGGATGAAAGTTTCCATACTCAAGGATTGTCCCAACAAGGGTACCGTATATTCCTCAAAGGTAAAATAGTCTTATTCTGAGCATTCTTTTCTTGGGGTTTTCGAATTGATTTTTGCAGTGCTTATTACGAGAAATAAGTTTAATTAGATTTATCAATTTTCTTGCCTTCCCACGCTACTTCAAAAAGTGGAGGTTAGCATTCTGATGTCTCTGTAAAATCATATGGAATCGTCAAATTAAAAATGTTTTAATCGCATTACCAGAAATAGACTATTTGCGAAAACGTTTTTCTCTAACAATCATCAAGATTCCATAATCGCCATTTTGTTTTTACGATATGTTTGTATGGCTATAGTATTAAAAAACAGATGTTCATGGAATGGATCAAGTACAGTTTGACTTAAAAATCTTCTCACAAATTTACAGGAAAACTCAATACCGAATTTACTATAAGAAAAATATATGTCATTATTAATTAACCGAAATATAATCACCGCATATAAATCGAACGATGTACCTTCGCGCGATTCAGTCTACTCAGTATGAGTTTCACAAAACCTGTGTTATTGATGATTTTGTTTAGTGTTCTTGAAGGTGTTGAAACTGATATACGCTATTCAAATACGTTATATTCTATTCCAAAACTTTGCATACGTTTTGACTCATAGTTGAATAGTTTTGATTCCCTTCTAGCAAGAGCTAGGGACATAGTTGAATAGTTTTGATTCCCTTCTAGCAAGAGTTAGGGACATAGTTGAATAGTTTCGATTCCCTTCTAGCAAGAGTTAGGGACATAGTTGAATGGTTTCGATTCCCTTTTAGCAAGAGTTAGGGATATAGTTGAATGGTTTAACAAGTATTTAAACAGCAATGCTCACCGGGAAACTTGTCTTCAGGAGTTATAGTCAACTGGTCCAATGCATAGGATACAATAAATAAGATGACAGATTGTCATCTTAAAATAATCAAAAATGCTAAAATGCGAAACTTTGACATAATTAAACTGCTAACGCGTAGGTTAACATTGCAATGTTACACACACTATTTACTATGTTACCTGATCTGTTACAGGGTGTAGGGGAGCCTCCTCTTCTCTTGGCAATATCAGTTTATATTGCGCTAAGGGAAGCCATCCGAGCTTGCCGAAAGGATGCGGGATTATCTGGTCATTTTGACCTCGATATTCCTTTGACTGCCGAAAACATTCGAATGGCTTGTCCAGTGGAAATTCCTACAGGCAAACCAGATGTGTAAACAATGGGATATTTAGGAATCGGACTCCAATAATATCATAAATTAATTGAAGAAATATTTGTGAAATTTGACATACGTTTTGAAATTGAAGTCTTCATGGGTCCTAATATCACCACGCAAAATTGTTCATGGAAGGATCCGTTTTATGTACTTATATTCAAAAGATGATAATTCTGGAAGTGTCCAGAAAGTGTGAAAATAAAGCATCGATCTTTCTTAAAATAATTGTATAATCCAATATATGTAGTTATACGGACAAGCAATTAACTAAACTTATTATTTCATTTATTATTATTATAAATTATATTTTCACATTGAAAATATCAAAAGGAAATGATTTCTGCAATAACCACCATAGGTTTGCCTCACTCCCGTCTTACTGGATAAACCAGCTAGGAGTTAGTAAACATTTTTGATTAACCACTAGTGGATACTATGTTATTAGTAAATCTTCTTATAATGACTGCTATGAGACGTCATCTTCCATTTTACGTCATACTTCATAGAAATTGTTCCCCAGATTGGTAACTGGAATGGTGTTTTCTGAAGAGATACATATGATTTTCTGGATATGCTAACTGATCGTTGTGGGAGCAAAAAGTTCCCAAACTCGTGAGGTTCGATTATCATATTTATCAAACTCTCGTTAGTTGATTTTCAAATTGTACAATTATAAAGCTCGTGTCTTTATACAATTCAAAAATTAACTAATTCGATTGAGATAAACATAGATAACCAACCATCACTCTTTGGGCAACATTTATATACAATGTAGTTGTTTCGTTATTTCCAATTATGGTCTTAACTAGTTCGTGATCATGTTAGCTTTTGATCATGCGATGAAATACAACGTAAAAGGATTGTGTCAATAACGAATACCTATTCTATTATGAGAAATTATAGATCATTAATAACTTGTCAAAAAAAAGCGTTAAAAATAATTGAGATCCAAATCAGATTTTTTTTTACATCAGAATCGAACGTCGTAACATTGCATGTATACAATCCGTATCTACTAATATTTAGTGAATTGCAGCAGTGTGCAAGTCAATCTCAGTAAAACTAACATATCTTCCATTAAAAAAATCCTTTTATTTAGTTGTTGAGTTCTCATTTATTTTAAATTCTAGCTTAAATAATGGTACTATAGTTATTCCTTGCCCTTATCGTGGCATGTTTTAGAATGACTGTTCCTTGAATTGTCATTCGGTTGCTGGCTCAAATTTATTAAAGGCACAAAAGCAGAGCCTTGCCGTACACTTCTGAAACAATTATCAAAATTCAAGATTCTGGTGGCATACCCACCCGTGATAAACGTGAAAACCATTCCAAAACGATCTTCAATGAGATTCATCAGCTCGGAAATATGTGGTATCAAAATCATTTTTACACAAACAATGTACGTATTAAACGTGTCGCAACGTTTCAAGACCGACTGGTACATTTGTCAAGCTATGACTGAGTGAGCGATTGATATTATTTACCTGTACAACGATGTGATAAAATTGTATATTGTTCATGTCACTCGACCCGAGACGTTTCGCCTATCGATAGGGAGCGTATACACACTACATCAGATATGTTACAGGTAGGGTGTAGATCTAGTAATGATAGCCTAACCAAAAGCAAAGGCTGAGCCACTATACCCTACGTGAAGGGGACATTTGAGGCGTTTGCACGGATGATGAGGAAACACCATTTCAGCACTCCGATTTGACCACTGACAACTCTCATAGAGTCACTGGTGCACCCCAAAGACAAGACTGACATTTTAGACGAAACAGGAGTTGTATATCGAATTCCATTCAAACATTGTCAGCAATCATTTTTAGGTGTTCATGCATTAACTGTTGCCCATTTAGCTAGTCTCCTTGGGTACAGTACACTGGACGGTTAACATACCGTCCAAGAAATGGACGTCCACGTGTAGCTTCGCAACGTTAGGACAGATCGGCAGGTCTGTCTCATCCCCGGAGCATGTTTTAAAAAGCGAGGTAAACTGCGAACAATGTCATTAGTAATCACTGAAGCCTATTGTCCGCGAACGGTTAGAAATAAGCTGTGCGACTTCAACTTAAAGTCATGGTAAAGTCGATGTCAACGCCGAATGCAATGGTGTCGTGCACATGCTCCAAATGTGTATCGCTTAGCTTAGCTGATCAGAGGCGTGTCCTATCTACTGACGTGTCTCATTTTACGCGTTCCTGTCCGATTTCCACCAATGTGTCTACCGATGTCGGTGTGAACGAGATGCAATGTATAATGCATGTAAGGAAAACACAGATTGAAGAACGAACTGTTGAGGTCTGGGAAGAATTTTATAATGACGTAAAACCATCGACCCCGCCGCCGCCTCGGTTGTCATCCATGATAATCTCACAGACGTTAGGTACCGGGATCAGGTTCTACAGGTCTATATCATTCCTCTTAAACACCAGTGGAATTACACCTCACAGCAGGACAATGCCGGACCACACATTGCAAGCGTACGTGGTTCTTTTCTAGTCCCAAATAATGTCAAATTACTTGATTGGCCACCATATAGTTCAGGTTTGTCCCGCATTTAAACTTGTGGAACAAACTGGAGAGGCGAATTGGAAAAAGCAGCCGATACATCTGGATGTATTGAATTGAACCGATCCGGGCCGGGGAGGACATATGTAGTTAGGAATAGGCACTGGAATAAGGTGGGGAAGCTCTGCTGTGACGTCGTTACTGACACCGCCGCTTGTGTTATAACATGAAACTGTGATAAAATATCTTTAATTTAAGTATGTGTTGTCACTATTTTGAATATGTCAAAAATATAAAATCCAACGTCTAAAGTATTTTGAAATATACAGACTGTAGCAACTTGGAAAAGTAGCTATAACACCCTACATGACGTTATTGGTTACTGTATGACTATCGATAGTTTATTTGTAAAGAAGAGTGGTCCGGCGCTCTGTGGTGTTTATTTAACAAAAAGGATTCCAACTTGATCGTTTTGTATCCTTTGCAATACCGATCAGAGTCCCTTTTATGTTGATATGGTCAACTGCTTTAACTCCCTAAAACGACATGTTTCATTTAATAAGCTATGTATCAGAATAGTTGTTAAATAACAAAAATTTAACAGAAAAGTATTTTTTCAGTCCTTGTCAACAGCAGTAAAGGTGTGAGACTCTCTCATTTCAAATATTAATATAAACATACTTAGAATGATTCGTCAATGCTCATTTGACGTGGTTAGATATTTGCCCTTTCATTGATAACTATTTCCGACATACTTGTCCGTAAATCAATATAATGTTTCACAAGTACGCCACTAAAGTAAATTGTGTATATTTATATGTATTTCTATCTGCTGTCTTTGTCAGCTTAACCAATGGCATAAATTGGTTTTGAAGGCATTCATAACACAAATATCAAATTTTAAGTACTTATATATCTGCTATTACTGCTGCTACTACTACTTCTACCTCTTCTGATTTTACTGTTTCTGATGCTGCTGCTATTTCTACTGCTACAAATGATCCATATGTCTGACACATAACACACATTTTTCTGTATTTCTCCTGCTATTATTTTTCCTTTTTTCTCTCCTGAAGAGTCGAATTGATAACATTTAGACGCTGCATTATCTCTAAGCAAATACATTTCTAGAACTTGGTTTGATTTAGTGAAAGGCCACATTAACACTTGTTTGTCGATCAATTAGACAATGTTTATGACGCCAGTGTAGCTTGTGCGCCTTAAATTTTATAATAATAGGCGTGTTGTCTTGTTTGTATAACTAATGACATAGATCAGTATGTGGATCGTTCACACCTATATTTCCCTGTAATCTATTTTCCCATTCAAAAGCAGCAGTTAATGTTATTTACATGAAAGTCGATTGTTATAATTTCCATTCAGTTCCCACAATTACACAGTCTAAAAAATACTTGTAATGGGATAGTGAATATAAATACAGGCGGGGTTCACCACGCCTCATGCATCTTGGCAACATCGTTTGTATAACAGTCTTACCTTAGTTGATACTATCTCAGTTGTGTTGTAACTCTTCCTCTATCGAAGTCCTTGACTACAAAATGACCAGTAACCTTCTTCATTTATTTGTCATGTTTGCATTCTGTTCCTGTGATATTGATAACACAAAGATGATTGAAATATCTGACATGAAAAACTTACGACTTGCCGCCAGTAGTGGGAATCTTTCTATAACAACATCCAGCGCCTTACATTGCGCGGTAAACTGCATCAGCAACTCCTCGTGTGTGGCGTTATCGTACCAAATTGGCGAAAGAAGCTGCCTGATCTATGATTTCGTGTTCAGCAGTAGTACGGCAGGAACGGTTTCAAAGAATGGATGGATTTCATACAGGAAACACACCGGTAAGTTTCCTTGATATACTGTGAAATCAGATATTTTCTTCGGTCCCAAATTTCGTGGTTTCCGGACGAAACACGATATCGGGGGTACATACATTCGTGTATTACGAGCACCTATTGAAACGAAGAACTGCTTTATGTCAAACTTGTAATTACTTCGTGGACCTATGCATTTGTGGATAATGATTACCCACGAAATCAACGAATTTAAAAGACACACGAAAATTAGTAATATCATAGTATGTGACCATTGATATGTAACATAGAAAATACTTATTGTCCCCCTTATTTACACTGGGATTTCAAATCAATTTTCGAATTGAAGTCATTGAATTATCATAGGTGGAATTGATACCATGCTGCCGACCGTGAAATTCAACATAAACCAAAGCGTTTCGAGTAAAAAATCATAGCTACGATCGGCGTTGGTTTAAATAATAATTACCATATTCACAATGTTATTATGAAAAAGATATAATAAATACAAAATGTACTGATATTAATCTTCTCTAAGGATCCCACCTTACTCATTTTAAATAGTAACTCTATATTTTAAAGACCTGCGTCGTTTTAAATAAAAAATTTTATTGCCATCCACATCTGTTAATAGTAATTATTTTTTATAAATGCTATCAGTTTTGATATAAATGTTTTTTAATTCCATGCTGGTAACTGTAGTTGGAGTAAATGCTCACTGTATAGTTGTTTAATAAGGCGGTGCTTACATTCGCTCGATCAGAACTAGTTTGCGGAAATGAAATCTCACGCTTCATAATGGTTCTTTCTATATTTGGATGATAGGATTTATTTTAAAGGTGACTTGTAAAATAAACGGAAATGCGATATTGAATTGTTGTTTTATCTCCATTATTAGGGTAAACGAGTAAAAATATGTTTTCTTTAGTGTATGTAAACACATATTAACCAAAATTATAATGCATGGTATTGATATTCTCTGGGTACTCCGCCTTATTCCATTTCAATGTTTAAGATACGTCATTATTCTTCCATTCTAAACAGCTAACTGTCCAGCTGATCGCGGCTACACTTACAGCCCAACCCTTGACAGGTGTTACAAGCTATTTACAGGACTAAAAAAATCCGTTCAGTCTGCGAGTAGCTACTGTAACCAAGATGGCGCACGTCTGCTCAGAATCAACTCAGTGGAGAGGCAGCAACACATGACTGACTTTCTAAGTAAGTTGAACACATCTATAAGAGACATATTGGAATCATAAACAACCGAATGGTTTTGTAATAATTCGTTCGTATAAGTATTGCACAGCCCTACTGATATTAACTCATATATAATTCTGTTCTTTGACGTACATATATCTGGAAAAAAATCAATAAATTAAATTATGGGTTTAATTAGGAGAACTATAGAATATATGGATAATAATACATTCAAAGCTCTATACAAAGGAGTCGTAAGACCTAATCTTGAATATGCTATCCCAGTGTGGAGCCCGCACCTGATAAAACATATAGAAGCCATTGAAAACGTCCATATAAGAGCTACTATGTTGATACCGGGTATGACAGACCTGTCCTTCCCAGAGAGACTTGAGGTATTGCAGCTCCAAACATTAGCTTACAGACGCGTCAGGGGAGACATAATTTAACTTTTTTAAATCATGACAGGGGAATATGATCCCAAAGTGTCCAAGTTCATGTCACAAAAGAAAAACAATACTGTTACAAGGGG